TTGGGAACAAGGGCTTCAGACTCCTAATAAACCACCTGGAGCCCTGGTACGACATGGTGAAACTAAAATATCTAGACGGCTCTGCCTGAACTTTACCGAAGAGTGTGCAAACACATATCCGAAGAGATGAAAGATGTCAAATCGATGAGTTTCACCACAGACATCTGGAGCTCCGACGTGTCCCCCGTGTCGCTTTTAAGTTTAACTGTACACTGGTTGGACATGCATTTTGTGCCACAAAGTGCCATGTTAATTAAATGCAACACACTTTCGCGGGTCACACACCAGCGACGCGATTGCAGCTGCATTAAAGGAAATGCTTGACAAGTGGCAAATTCCGCTCAGCAAAGTCCACGTTATTCTTAGAGACAATGCCAGCAACATGAAAAGAGCAATGGACATCATGGGAGTGCGCAGTTTAGGCTGCATTGCTCATACAATGCAGCTAGTTTCAAACGAGGGACTTCTCTCACAACGCAGCGTGAGTGATGCCATTGCAGGTGGGAGACACACATTGTTGGGCATTTTAAACATTCTCCTCTTGCATATTCCCGGCTGCAAGATATCCAGCTCGAGATGAACATGGAACCAAAACGCCTCCAGCAAGACGTGAGAACAAGGTGGAATAGCACCTACTACATGATAGAGAGTCTGCTGGAACAGAAGCGAGCCCTGTCTGCCTATGCTGCTGACCATGACCTACCGACAACACTCACGGCAAACCAGTGGACCTTGCTTGGAAAAACAAAGACCTGCCTTGAACCATTTGAGGAGTTTACTAGGAAGGTGTGCTCCGCCACTGCCTCTGCTGCTGATGTTATCCCAAGTGTCACTGTTCTCAAACGTGTCCTCTCCATGGAAACAGAAGCTGACTCTGGTATTAAAACCATGAAAAAGACCCTCCTAGAGGCCATCGACAAACGCTTCAGCACAGTGGAAGATGAACCTCTTTATGCACTCCTCTTTATGCACTTTCAACACTGCTGGACCCAAGATACAAAGACAGGTAAGACTAGGAAGAATTAATAATTATTTTGTATATATATATATATTCCAACGCCATGTGTGTGTGTAACTGACAAAAGTAACTGTCATGATTTAATATTTATTGAGCTGCATTTGTTATCTTTTTCTGTTTCTCATGTTCTATCTCACTCTGTGTGAAATGTACACTGTGACTGCAAATTTAAATGTAAGAAAATAAATGTGAGAGAACAAATATTAAACAACGTAGTATATGTACACTAGATTTTACTCATGTAACTTGTATTTCAGATTTGGTAAGGATAAATGTGCTACCATCTGGTATATCTATGATGTACTACTATGTAACTTATGCATGTCATTTTTTTTCAGATTCTTTACTAGTGCAGAGTCTGCAAAGCATGGAAAAGATGCACTGGCCAAAGAACTGGAGGAAGACTTGAGGACCACCACAGATGATGAGGCATCAGAGATTTTGGAGCCACCAGAAAAAGCCTCCCGGGGAGAAGCAGCAGCAGCTCCATGAAAGAATTTGACAAAATTCGGGAGGAGCGCGAGGAACCTGGTGGTGCAGCAAGCTGCTCCAGCACAGATGTTCAAATGCATGTTTTTTTTTTACGGAGGAAACAATCCCTGTTTCACACGACCCATACAAATACTGGGGAGTCAACCAACAGCAATTTCCTGGCCTTGCTGTTGCTGCCTTTAAATACCTCTGTGCACCCTGCACTATCGTAGAAAGTGAAAGGCTCTTCAGCACAGTTTCCTCTATCCTGGAAGAGAAGCGAAACAGACTCGCAGCTGAAAGAGTAGAAATGCTTGCTTTCCTAAGCAAGAACCTGCCACTGATGCTTAAGACTGAGCTTGAAATGCTAAATTATTAAACAGGATGTTAAATTCTGTTTGTACTAAAGCATTACAAAGAGCTGACTCCTGTTATTGAATGTCTACCAAGTCAGTAAAGCTATTGCTTTTTCCTTTGTTTAATGTACACTTTATTTTTATTTCTATGTGCACTGACCAAACTATTAAAAATTGATTTGTTTATTTTTACTTGTGCAGTTTTACCAAGCTAGGGAAGCTAGTGTTTTACTCCTCTGCTTCTATGTTGGATGTTACATTTTATTTGCACTAAAGCATTACAAAGAGCTGACTCCTGTTTATTTTGAATATCTACCAAGATCCAACCCGGTAAAACTAAAGCTTTTTTTGCTCAATTTCAGCTGATTTATTGTTTATTGTTCATTGGATTTTGAAATTCAATTTGTGCTAACGAGATTGTTCCTATTTATTTGTACACGTTTACCAAGCTAGTAAAGCTGTTGTTTTATACAGCTATATTTGTATTGGATGTTACATTCCTATTTGCACTTTAATTTTTAATGTTAAGTGAAAGCTAGTGAACTTTTATTAACACATTTTGCACTGGTGCTGGTTTAATAAATAATTCACTAAATTTGTGTGTTTGTTATTTTGTTTTACAAGGTTAGAAATGTTTTGTTTTAAGTCGAGCCTGATGCCTTGCAGTGATGCATACTGTTTATTAGGTAATTCAGCACTTAATATTTTACTTTAGTATCGGATCGGTACTCTGTATCGGCCAATACTGAATCTCTGGTAACGGAAACAAAAAAGGCGGATCGGAGCATCCCTAAATTAGACGCGCACTATGTGTAATGTTAATTAACAATATGTTGCAATCCGATAGATAAGACCCCAGCATCCACCTGAGCAAATATCATAATTTAGTCATTTAATATCTGCTGTTACTTTCTAGACTTCATCAGTCCCAGCGGCAGCATAACAGCTCGTAAATTCGTGTTCGTGCAATGATGAGACGGACGAAGTTAGTCGATGCATGCCATTTTACTCTCTCGTGTAGATAAAGTTATAAGGGTTACAGTGCACAAACTCCTGGGTTTGACTTGAATGAACAAATAAAGCAGAATATAAACGTTCTTTCTCCGTTTTCTGAATTACACAACAGCCTACCACACAATAGCCTACACGTCACACGAGCACATTTCTCCGAACTACACTACCCATAATGCATTTCACTCTGAACTGCAACAACCATAGTGATAACTCTTAATTCCCTTCTCCCGCAACACTATCGTTGATATGACTGTGATAAGCACATGCTTCTGATGCTGCGTGCAACTGAAATCAACCACGCGCTCATCACAATTAAAACATCGACCTTAGAAATAACGAACGTGAACACTGGGATAATCGCTGTATATGGAGATCTCCAGCTGAAATGCGTACGAATGCTTATTTCATTTAACCTGTTTTCATGTTCGTTAGCAAATATCATAATTTAGTAATTTGATAACTGCTGTTAATTTATCCGCTTCATCAGTCCCAGCGGCAGCATAACAGCTCGTTAATTCGTGTTCGTGCAATGATAAGATGGACAAAGTTAGCCGATGCATGTCATTTTACTCTTTCGTGTAGATAAAGTTGTTAGGGTTACAGTGCACAAACTCCTGGGTGGACTGACTTGAATGAACAAATAAAGCAGAATATAAACGTTCTTTCTCCGTTTTCTGAATTACACAACACACGATAGCAGACGTCACACGAGCACATTTCTCCGAACTACACTACCCATAATGCATTTCACTCTGAACTGCAACAACCATAGTGATAACTCTTAATTCCCTTCTCCCGCAACACTATCGTTGATATGACTGTGATAAGCGCGTGCTTCTGGCGCTGCGTGCAACTGAAATCAACCACACACTCATCACAATGAAAACATCGACCTTAGAAATAACGAACGTGAACATTGAGATTACACCGATGTACTGTATATGGAGAACCCCAGTTGAAATGCATACACAAGAATGCTTATTTCATTTAACCGGTTTTCATATTCGTTACTATTAATGTGTCCTCAGAGCAATTACAAGCTCTAAACTGCCTTTTGCTCCAGCTGTATAAACATGCTAAATGCTGCTGCTAATATGCTTAATATTTCGCTGCTGCATACAATGCAAACTGCTAACATAACACTTAGTTTAAAATTGTTTATGGTTGCTCATTTTGTATTCAATTAGGCAGACCACGCAAATACACACAGCGATATGGATTAAAAGAGCATTCACTTATCTTAGATGTTGATTTAGGCTGCTCTGAAGTGCACTGCCAACTGCTACGGCAAACAAAGGCGCCCTAGCCTAAACTAATGCTGCGTTCAAGTCCTCCTGGGACGTTCGTACTTACGAGTTGACATGTCGTAATTACGACGTCAGGTGCGTTCAAGTCAGTTTAGTCGGCACAAGCTGGCGGTGTAACTTCTTTTAATAAATTACAAGAAAATACAACAGGATCTGTTAACTCTGCTTATAGAAAATGAAGAGGATAATGATCTTTAAAAAAGCATCATATGACCCCTTTAAACAAACATTTACCGTCAACTACAGATGTTGCATCCATCGATTCAAAACTTGATATTTTGAGCACTCAATTGAAAATGTACACATAACGTATCAATCGTACTTACAGGTTGTGGTTCGGAGAGTTTGTTAGTCCAAATTAAGAAGATTAGAAGCCAATGAAGATAAAAGCCAATATTAGAGAACCAGTCCTTGGTAAAAGGACATGCACACAACAAAAGGATCGAATTGTATTTCTGTGGTATTCTTGAACACAGCGTCTTCTCAACATGATGTAAAAACACTAACTAGCGGAAGTGTTTGTGGGCAGGTCAGGCTCTGTTCGTATTTTGCGGGCAGGCGGGGATTATGCAAATGTGTTACCCAGTGACATATACCGGTAACAGGCAAAAGATTCGAAAATATGACGACTCGTTAATGCGATTCAGAATTGACTCTCTTTTGGGAGACAATATCTTTATTTATCATGCACTTTTTTGATTAACAACTTTGCAGATTGTTTTCACTTAAAGATAGCTACGTTATAAACTGCAAAAGAGATATTTTTCAAAAACCCATATGACCTGCTCTTTAAAGGTGCAGTAGGAGACCTTGGAAAATGCTAACTTTAGCCTGATAGCACTGAAAGCATATGTCCCACCCTCCCTGCAAATCGCCGTCCAAACGCATGCTTCCTGAACGCATGAACGCGCACAGACCAGACGACCAGAGACAACATTACTACAATACATCATGTGTCATTCACCGGTGAGAAAACTTTATAGTACAGTTAGTAACAGTACTACAATACTGCCCTACAAAGGCAAAATATTTTAACTCGCTAGAGTGTGAAACTGAGAAAAATGACTTTAAAGATCTTTATTTGTCCAGACAAATCAATTATAGGTAGGACGCTGGAAATCTGGCAGTTAGATGTTTTAGTAATGAAAATTATCTACATAAAAAAATTTGAGCTCAAACTTGATTTTTACTCCTATTTTTTTTTGTTTTTTTACTCCTATTCTGCCTTTGCATTGTCATCAAAAAGTGAGAAGTCACGCCAAGGCAAAAGGCAGTAACGATCATATACAATATTTGGTTGCTGATCACCATTAAAATGTAGTTATCACGGGCTGTTTCATATGCTATAACATACAGTAATGTGACTGTATTACCTTTTTTTTCTGATCGTAAAAACCAGACAAAAAGTTAAACATGCGAGTGGATACCGTTTTGCAACCGATTTATTTGCAATGTTCACTAACGTTAAAGAATGCAATACATACTTAGTCTATTGATTTTACATTGAATTGAATAAAAATAGCCTAAACTAAACTAAAAGGACGACTTGTGTATTGATGTGAACGCCAGCAAGTAGAAATAATGCTCAGAATGCTTGTGGATTAAACATCTCCAATGATGTTCATTGACATGGATTTTATCGGGTTACAAGAAAAGATAGGATATGGATTTAATTGTGAACTCTACTGATTTTATGTGTGATATGCTACGTTGTCCTTGCATTCGAGAAAGCCTATCATAATGTTCTGACCAAACATTTTGGTTGGACGAACATTTCTTGGTCCTACGCCTTCCACAGAATACATAAATACATATAGATTGCTATCCGGATGTGAAGAGACTTTCAACCAGCATAACAAAAATTTTCTGAAGACAATCACCTATTTCACCTTTAAAACCTAGTACTATTCATTACTTTTGGTAAACTTTAAGTTATTCTTTATAACAAAATTTTTTGTTAATCACCTTTTTTTCCTCAGTACTTTGATCTGAATTCACTGATACATTTGTCTAATAAGTAACTAAAGCATTGGTTTAAGGAAGTGTTCTATATAGATAGTAGTACATCATGATCCAGTTTTGATTATGAGAGAATGAAATACGTATACTAAATTGCAAACTGAGAAATTGTCTTTCAGATTTTAGCACATTTTCAGCATGGGACATATTTTCAGGATATACAGTATATTTTTACTAAAATAGGATTACAAAGAACTTAGTGGAGCAAAATGATTCCTCTCAACCTGTATAGATGTCTTGTT